CATTCCCATTCTCCTGCATTCCCATTCCTGCATTCCCATTCTCCTGCATTCCCATTCTCCTGCATTCCCATTCCTGCATTCCCATTCCTGCACTCCCATTCCTGCATTCCCATTTTCCTGCATTCCCATTCAGGGTGCAGAGCTCCATGCACACCAGGCAGGGCTCAGCTCAATAGGAAAACGTGCATCTTCATATTCCTGTGGATTTTTGAGGCTGTGGATTTTTGTTGATTATTTTTCCTGATGTGTGTCTTCAAGATCAGAACCAGATCACGTTTGGAGCGTGCTGCTGTCACGGGGTGTAGCACCCACAGCACATTCAGGAGAGAAAAGCAGCACATTTGTCCCCAGCTCTGCTGAATCACAGCGAGGTCACCTGAAATGTGGGGATCTGAGCCCACAAACTCCGTGGATCCTGCCAGGACCTGGCAATGCTCTTCTCCTCCTCACACTTTGGAGCTCACAGCGTCTGCTCCAGCCCTTATCTGCTCACACCCCTGCTTGCCAAACGTGTTTGCGACGTGACACTGAGGAGCTGTGAGCAGTCTGGAAATCTTGGAGTTCAGGATTCCTGGTTTGCTGGTCCAGGGCCAAAACACGCTGTTCAAAGTGATGGGTGTGATCCAAGGTGCAAAGCCATCAGACTCCAGTCCAGCTCCAAACTGTGCCAAGGCCTTTTTTTGTCCTCACGGCAGTTTTGTGTCACTGTGACCCCGGTGAGCAGGGCAATGGACTGAAAAGCTGGGTGTCTACATTGCCATTTCAAACACATTTCTGAGCTTGCTSACTCCCAAACTTCTGCTCTGAGCAACATCTGAATTATGAGCTTACAAAAACATTCTGCCTTTTCACCCAAGGACTTTGACACTGATTAGCAAATGACCAACAAATAAAGAGGGTGCATTTTAGTCTTTTATCTACTTTGCATGTATATTATTTATCTCATAGTTATTTATCTCATAGTTATTTATCTCATAGTTATTTATCTCATAGTTATTTATCTCATTATTTATCTCAGGACATTTCAACTCCTCTTGCACAAACAGCAGCTTCAGTGTGGATTTTCCAGAGCAGCTCAGTTAGGAAAGCCCTGCCCAGGAGTGTGAGCTCAGTGTGTCAGGATCTGTGTGTTCCTGGAGGGTCACTGTCCCCTTCTCACAGAGCTCAATCCCTGAGCATCCTCAGCTCCTCACCTGCACTGAGGGATGGATTTAGGAGCATCTCTGTGCAGTTCAATGCCTGGGGGATGACTCAGAGAGAAAAGCCACAGGATAGTTTCCAGACCCTGCTGAATCTGCCAGTAATTCCCCATGGGAGGATTATTCCATCCCCATTTCTGTGCTGAGACAGTGTCCCCAGGAACCTGAGACCCTGGCACTGAGGAGAATCAGTGAATGAAGAAATAGCCTGAACTTGAGCAGTCATGGTAGAAAATGATTTATACCGACACGTAAATTTAACCAGATGAAGCTTTTGATTATTTCCCCTATCTCTTGGTTYGTGCTGTTTCCCTGAGGTGGAGAAATGCTCTTTGCCAGTAATTCATTATAAATGCCCCAGCCATTCCCATTAGCTACAGCAGATCCCCCCTGCCCTGCTCAGTATTAAAACATGCACAACTTCTCTCCAACTCACCAAAACCAATTTTTGAATCACTGAGAATTTAATCACATTTCAGTTCTCTTGGCTACAATCAACGTGCATGCTTCACACAATATTTACTTTCAGCGAAGGTACCAAACCTATATATGAGAGTTTCTTCTACACACAGAGGACAATGTTATCTGAATGCTCTCTTGGGGTAAATTAATGTTCACCTCTGCATAGGATATTGCACCAAAATGCTCCTTAAACCCATGCCAACTCTGTACAAAGTGACATCACACAAGAAATGGTAAAACAGAGCCACACAGAGCAGCACTATGAAATCAAAAATATTGAATCTAGGAGAATAGTTAAGAAAACCAGCATAAACAACTCCTCCCAGCAGGCATCCTACAAAAGGCTGAGTGCTCTGAATTTCCAGCAGGTCAGCTGGAAGGCAGTGAGAGGGATGGACAGACTGACCCCATCTCAGCTGCTCAGGGCACAGGGGCAGCCTCAGGCCAGGGCTCTCCAGGATGGGATTCCCTGGCTGTGACAATATTACATCAAATGCTTTGGTAAAACACCAGAGCCCAGAACAAGAGGAAAAACAAACCCTCTTTGCAGCTGATCTGCATCACTCCTGAGACTGGCCAGAACCATGCAATGAGCTGCACATTTTTAATTGAACTGTTTCTGACAAYATATCCAGGACAAACAAGCACAAAGGCACCTGTGTTGAAATGTCCTGTAGGAACAATGAGCATTTCACTGACAATCATTACGTGATTTGAAAAACTCTAACATGCTAGTTCACAGAAAATGCATGGCTAGAGGTTCACAGGCTGGTTTTTTTTTTTTTTTTAACCTGCTGTATTTTGGGTTTCAGCCTATGCAGAATGCAAGCTGAACACACAATTCCCTTCACCTCCACTCCTTCACTCAGCTGCTGCTCTGAATCGCTGAGAGCCTCCTCTGGCACATCACCATCACTTTAATGAGAAAGCAAAAGCTCCAGGACTGTGACAAACAGATCCTTGAAACCGTTTTCACTCTTTTGTTCAAGACAATAAAACAACACACAGAGTTCACAGGGCATGAAACTTGAATAACTCAAGTGTGCCATACATGGTGGTCATCTGAAAGATGTGGCCATTCAYAGAAAGAAAAAGAAGATAAAATAAAAGCCACCCTGAACTCTGGAGTGATTCACGCTGTGGTTGCGTAAGGCAGCAGTGCCATGGCACTGTTGGAGTCATGGTGAGCAGTGTGAACAGCGATGAATCAAACCCTGAGCTCTCCTTTGCAAAGGATGCTCCAGCACCTCCAAATAGCTCCTGACAAGGTCCCTCCAAATAGAATTTTGAGGGTGGCTTSAGCTTGGGAGGTGCATTCACACAACACCCATAGACTTGAGGAGAAAAGGCTGCAGAAAAGGAACCATTTCCAAGTGGTGCTGTGTGAAACAGAGATGTGATGTGGAGATATCACTGCCTTCCCTGCAGGCCAGGACTTCTGCTGTGCTTCTGGAGCACATATGGACAATTACAGATTCACTTTAATAGTTTATCTTTCTCCTGTTTAGCTCAATTGCTGCCTTGTCCCTGAGGAGCTTTTCTCATTACATTTAAGATCTTACTTTTGCTCTAACTGACAGATGCTGCAAACTGTCTATAAGCTCTGGCAGCCAACAGATATCTGTTCTCTGCAGATTTATTGCACATCACCGATCCCCCAACGGAGAAAATTCCCCTCATTCTTGGGCTTGGAATCAAACCACACTGCAGGAAATTCTGAGCTCAGATCSCTGGGTACCCCTGTGCACAGACACAAGAGTCACAGCAGAACCAAACCAAGGGATCATGACACAGACCACAATATTCTCTCTCCATATTGAATTTCATCATCAGTGCTGGTTTCATTTCTCTTTGGRAGTGGTGCAACTATCTGCTGCAGTTATCTGCCTTTCTATTTTCCCCTGTTTTCTTGCCTCGGGAGCTTGTCAGTGTTTTGTGGGGCTTTTGCACAGATCAGTTCCACATTGCCATCTGTCTGCTGCTGACAAATCCCATTGGGGAGCACATCCCTGCCAGGCTTTGAACGCTCAGGATGTGTGGATGGATGKCACTCCGTGGAGCTGATCTGCTCCCTGAGCAGGTGAGTGTTCAGCTGCAGAAATCAGAGCTCTCCTGGGACTCATTTACACCAAAATGAACACAGCCCAAAACACAGAGTTCATTTCCCGTGTGTCACACTGCCAGACTGATCCCTTGCTGAAAGGACCATCATCAGCAAAAGAAACACAAGCAATGCTTAAAAACAGTGCTGGCTGTGGATTTTGGGAGCCTTTCTGCCCCGCAGGTGAAGCAGGGACAGAAATTCTGCACCAACCCCGGAGAGCAGAGATCAGCACGGGCAGGAGGAACCCAAACCCCCTGAAATGTCACTTTGTCCCCAGCATTGCCAGCTCTGAGCTGCTGCAGCTCTGGCACATCCAAGAGGGAAAAAAACCACAAAGCTGCCCCTTCTCCCAAAAATAAATGAGATTTGAATGAGTTTGCTTAGTTTTTATCAGCATTAAGGGAATCATTCGTAGAACGGAATAATTTGTAGTAGATAATAGAATATGTTTTCCTCTATTCTCCTCCTTGGAAAAAATGTATTAATACTGGATAATTAAAATTACTGAACATAGTTCAGCAAAATGTTTTTAATTGAAAAATGGCCTTTTTTTTTAATGGCCTTTTTTGCTCTTGTGAGAAATGTCACTAAAAATTATTAACTGACATTCTTCATCAAAACTACTGATAAAACTGCTCTTTACTCACTCACCTACTTGAAGTCATAAAATTTCTATTTGAAAATCCTGGCCAAACAAAAAMAAAATYACTTTCTCTAATGAGTTTTAGTAATACAGAGCAGGTAGGAGAACACAAACCACGTTCAAACATGTGTGAGATACAGAGCTGTCCCTTCCCCTCAGTCCCACTCTGATTAACCCAATCAGACCACGGGGAAAAAGGGAAAAGAGGATCATTTCTCTCTTTGCAGTTGTGGTTGTGTTTTTTTTTTATATTTCACACTTCAGGATTATTCAAAGGCACCACAGTTTGATTCCACACATCCATATGTGCTCCCAATGAAAAAGATTMATAAATCAGAACCAGACTATCCCAATACACCAACTTTGCCATAAAACCTCACATTTATGGGTTACAAGCAGATCCATTGCAACAGTAAATTATTCATTTACTAAGTTCATACCATGATTTCACTGAGAACAACATTTAAAATGTTTACTTACTGATGTATATAGGAATCCTTCGCTGTTCATTGCCAGGTATAGTTTTGTTTGAACCCCCTGAATCGCCACCACTCGTAAACCCACAGGGATGAGGTTAAACAAAGCTGGGAGAGAAAGAGATGGAGAGCAAAATTAATCCTTTGGAGTATGCAGATTAGACAGAAAATTAAACCATAATTACCAGAACCAAATAAAAAACGTTATTCATGCATATATTAATTTCTGTGGGTGCTCCAGAGCAACACTTGTGCCATCATTTTCTTTTACAGCACTTTGCACCAACAGCTCAGRAATGATCTGAGGATGGTGAATTGAATTACTGACAGAACTCACCTTCCTCAGCAGCAAAATGCAGCCTCTGCCAARTACAATCAAACACACCTAATTTGTGTTTTATTAGGGATTTTTTTTGTCAGTAAGTGAAAAAAAGGGGAGAAAAAAAGGAATCCAGAAGCAAACAAATGAAAAATTTCAAGAAAATCAAAACTTTTTTTCAAAGTCAGTAAACATTTTGGCCAAAAGGAAGGAAGAAGATAAAATTCAGAAAAGTTAAAAAACCATCATTAGCATCTCAAAATGTTTCCACTCAAAACTCATTGGGGTTTAATTTTTCCTCTTTTTTGGAGGAGAATGGGTTTGAAAAAAGAGAGTGAAATAACTTCAAAACGAAATGAAATGGCAGCATATTCTTTATATCARCCCCTGAATCTGTGCTTTCAAAATTGAGCTGCTTTGAATGTTCTGCTTGCGTTATGGTTGTACACATGCTAATAGTGGCAGCATTTATAAGCACAGAAACATCTCCTCAAAAAATGAAGATTCCGGTTTGCAAAGTGGCAAATTAAAAAAAAAAAATAAAAAAATTAAAAAAGAAAACCAAAGCTCTGCCATAGTTTAGATTCATGGTAAGTTAAAATTGAGTGCAAGAAATAATGAGCTGAATACAGTACTGGGTGTTCAATATGTAGGATTAAAAATAAAGGGGAGTTAAGAAAATTATCATAATTTTCTTATGCATCTCCTTCCAGTCTCTGGCATAAATTCAGAGATAGGATGAAGTAATGCCAAGCTACCTCTCATTTCCAATGATTTATTGCTTGGCTGGAAAACTCTGCTCTGCTTCAGGCTGAAGTTTAGTGTTTATGGTCGCTGTCTAAAGTCAATTTAAAACTGAATTATCAATTTGAAATATTTTTATTATTTTCAAAATTATAAGATAAGAATTATGACCCATTACACATTTATTTTTCAGCCTGAAAAACCCCAAATGGTCATACTTCAGTAAAAATAAAATAAATTACAGCTTGASAGCATTTAAGACAGATCCTAAATCCTGGGTATGGGGCTGTCCAGAGCGAATCCTGAGATTGGGGCACCCCTGAGCGTTCCCTACAATGGTTGAACAGGCAGGAAAGGTGGAAATGTCCAGAACCAAKCAAGAGATGTGGGAGATCAGTAAATCTGTGTTTTTATATTTTCCTCTCACAGTGTAAATGCAGACACAAACACACACAGACCCTCCCCACGCTCGCCTCCAGCACCAAAGAAACACAAATCCCTTACTCCTCACTGAAACAAAATCCTCTGGTTCTGTGCAGGTTTTGGCAAAAGAAACTTGGATTTTCAGTAAGGGAAATGGATTTTTCATTGATTCAATTCAGCTGGATTCATGAGCAGGAACATCACTGCCAGTCTTGGCTTGGCCACCTGGACCTTCCTACACCTTCTGCAGGACGTTGTTTCTACATTTCCTCATTTTACCACTCYTGAAATATTTTGTCTTGCCAAAACTGGGGAATAAATTGTGCCTTGATTTAAACCCTTGCCCTATTCAATGAGGAACAATCCATCTCTCAGCCAGGGGATCCTTTCCAAGCAGCATTTCCTCAAATCTCACGGGCTCTTGGCTAAAGGGGAGGCCTGGGGAGTGCTGCAGCTCCTTAAATCCGTGTTTCACTTTCTGCCTTAATTTTGCTCCACATTCTCATCTTTCTTTGGAACTCTCTGCGAGTTGTGGATGTGACACTGTTTTTGGGAGCCCTGCAGAGTTTGGGATGGTTGTTGGGAGCCCCAGGAGCATTTCAGGCACAGCTCCTGCCCCGTTCTGGGGTGATGCACATGGGGGGACTGACCCTGAGCTGGGCTTGGCACCACAGAACTGGGGGGCTGAGAGCTCTGCCCATCCCTGTCCTACCCTGGAGAATAATCAGGGGTGGGTTTGGGGGGCTGCAAACCCCGGGGCTGCCTCTCACTGCACAAATGGGCACTAAATAAGAGGGGTCTCTAAGGATTTTAGAGGGTCTGATCCTCTAAACCTTCATGGGAGCAAAGCTATGGGGGGAGATCCTCACGTGGACTCTGAGCCACAATCAGTTCCCCAGCTTCATTAAAATACTGCAATTAAACTGAATTCAGGACTGCAGGACACGCAGAGCTGTACACTCACTGTATGAAAAAGAGGAATTTGTGCTCTTTTATGATAAACCCCTCCTCTGTTCTGAACACTTAGATACTGCAGTCCAGCTGCAATAATTTCTGGGATATTTCCAATATTTTTAAGCAGTCAATATTTTGGAAGGCTGGTCTCCCAAACAAGGAGCTCTTATGGTTTGCKTAATGATCTACCAGGTTATGGCCAATTTAAGGACACAGCAAAACCAAAGATGTCTTAAAAACAGATAGATCTGTATTTTCATAAATTTCATCCTGTTTTAAATCTCAGAATCCCTATTAGAGAGATTCCAAACAAAACATTTGGATGGAACAGTCAAAAAGTATTCAGTATTTGCAATTTCAGATGTTTGCTCTTGCAAATTAGAAGTTTTACAGCAACATCACGCTTGGATTGAAAGGTTTGCCTATTTCCTCAACTTCTTCTGCAGATAATTAAAACAATTACCTCAAAACCCTGAACGAGCTTTTGGTGTCTTAAATATCAGATGATTCACTTGAAAGAAAAGCACTGTTAAAGGTCCATAAGGACCATTTCTAAAGTGGATTTTGTGGCTGCACGAGGAGAGCTGGAGCTTGGTGTCCCCAGGTCCTCACTGTCCCCTGGGGCTGCAGAGACCCCAAACCCTGTCCCATCTGTCATCAGAAAGGACACAGAGCTGCCAAAATAGATAAAGAGGCTGTGGGAAAAGGGTGGGAACAAGTGATTGGAAAATAGGATAAAATGCTTCCTCTGCCCTATCTGAGTGCCCTGGAAAATGAAGGGATGCTTCACCTGCAAGTGCTTCTCAAATGAAAGGAGTGGGACTTCAATCWGGGCTTTTTAATAATTAAAAAAGAGGAGCCTGGAGATTTTATGGGKTTTTGTTTAAGTGGCCTGAAATATCTTCTCAGGACTGCCTGCATTCCTTACAGAAGCACAGTTTCAGTTAACTTGTATGGCGATGTGAAATCCTGGAATATTTTACACACAGCAAATCGATGATCCTGGCATCTTTTCCTGTTTTTTATTAATCCTCAAAGTTGTAAAAAAACTCCAATCGAAAACAACAACCAAAAATGCCCAGAGCTTTTTCACAGAAAACCAGAGGGAAATCTGTTTGAAAGCTGATGGCATAATTAAGTTTAGAAGGGGTAAAAAAATAATAATAATAGGGAAATGCAAACTTTAAAATGCTGCTGAAGTTTCAGTTTGTGAAATAAGACAGCTCTGTTTGAATGAGCTCGTTTGAGAGTGGAGATAGCGTTATTCTATTTCAGGCTCTGAGTAGGCGTGCAAATTTTCCCTGCCGAAAAAAAAATCTAATAAAATCCAAAGGATAGCAATGAACTTCTGTAGATTACCATGGAGATAACATTTGCTTTGTTTGTCACATGTGTCATCATTACCTCCTCTAGTTCATTATTTCTCTCAGTAATTTTTCTCTGTATTTCTGTGACCCAGCAGGTCTGAAGGACTCGTGTGCCCCTTCCCCTCCTGGAGTAGCTCTGGGGGATCTGCACAGCGAGGACAAAACACCACAATCCACAGACACACCATTGATTCTCCAGCCACTTACTATAGCTACTGTCTTCCTCTTTTGTTCCATCAATCGTTCCATCTGCTTGCAACTGCAAGTGGTATCCTTGCCTGCTGTAGAGCTTTGTTACTATACCTTTGAGCTGAGGCTCTGCAAAAAAACAACAGTGAGATTAATGTGGGAAATCCTGAGGTGCTGTTCCAAACAAGCAGSACGTTCAAAACAAATCTTCAGGTTTCTTCTCAAGGCTGAGATTAGAAAAAGACCCAAAACAAAAGCAGGGTTACCAGCTTTACAACACTTTTCATTTAGGCTGAGATCAAATTTATGCCTATGAAATCAATTGCCAAAATGATTAAATGCCACTTTSGATTACAGTGTAGTAGCAGTAAAATCTGCTTCCAGTGAGTACGGATTCCAAGAGCGCTGCTTGGCCTCGGGAGCCCAACCCTTCCTCATTTAAGATTAAAAATGAGCTGGCAAAGAGTGCATTCTGTCTTTTAAAAAGGTGTGAGTTCTCAGATGGAGAGGAAAAAGAAGACTATTACAGCAGCATTAGTGAGAGCCACAGTGACAGCTGAGAGCAGCAAACGTTCAGCACAGGAACTGCTGCAGCTCTGATAAACAAACCCCATCCCTCCCTGCTCCAAAGAGTACAGAGCATCCCGAGTGATAAACTACTCGTGAACATATGGAAAATGGAGAGGGAAACCCTGAAACCCAGCAATGTGTGGAACTGCAAAATAAATGTTACCATAAGGGCTGAGGTAATTACCTCATCAGCTAGAAGAAGAAAGATCAAAACAACGCACAGTTTGATAGATTTCYTTTTTTCATAACCATCCTCAGATTCACAGCTACAAAGCAAGGTGTTTCCCAGGTTTCATGTTGTTCTAAATCAAGCAGTATCCAGCAGCAGGGAATGCTGTCCAGTGCCATTTCAGATACCAGGTACAGCATCAGGAGTAATTGCAAAGAACTCTACGTCCCCTGAATGCCAATGACATCTGCATTGTAGTCATTTCACACAAATGGCTTTGTCAGGAGCCGAGGCATCCCTGCAGCTCTCTCCTCAAACCTCACTCTATTCRGAGATAAACACACTGAGGGTGTGGAGGCATTTCCAGCTCTGTGTCTGGGTAACACTCCTYCTGTTTGTAACCAAAGGCATCGGGAGCGCTGCACTCAACTTCATTTCAGCAGGGGCTGAAGGCAAAAGCTTCCAGCAGTTCGTGTGTGTTGGATCTTTCAGCAACTTTGGAACGAGTACTGATGGATCCACAACTCAGATCTACCAACTGGCTGACCAGAAATAACTCCAACTTTTGCTTTTTAACCATAACCCATCCCAAAGCTGTTCACAAACTGTGAGCAAGGCGGACAGGTGGAGTGGCAAAACCATCCCTGCTCCAGTAAAGCTCAACGCTGCCAGAGGGTTTTGCTCCTCCCTCGCACAAAACMACCCCCTGGGATCACAGACTGAGCCTTCACGCCTGATCTTTGGCTCCTGTGACCCAGAGAATATCATCTCCACAGGTATGAGATTCCTAGAGAGGAACAGACACCCAAACAAAACTATGGAAGGTGCCAGAGAAAGCAGAAAGCTTCGTGTGCAATCTGCAGATAAAGCCTGGCACGGGCATTCTGCAACGCAGGACAACAAAACCACATCTCCAGACCTCAAAGTTATTTAATAACCCACTGAGGGAGATGTGTGTGTGGAAACTTCTCCACTAGCATGTTCCCTG